GCCTTCGGACACTCGGAGAAAGGGGAGCGTGTAGTCCTGAGAACTACAGCAACGTTACAAATGATTGATCCAAATGGCCTGGCCCATCACCTGACAGAACAAGCTAATCAGTTCCACAGGGTGGATCTGGGTCTACTTTCTGATCGGCAGTGATCCTGACCAGCTATCTGACTGAGCTCCCATTTACAACGTGACAAGGAGTGAGAGGACCTGGCGGGGAACGGTCACACCTTAGATACATGGGAGATGCTTGGGGCTCTTCAGGTGAAAATGTGTGGGAAATGGTCCCATCCATCCATCCATCCATCCATCCTTTCACCCATGCTTCATCGCAAAGCAAGTTCTTAGGACTGTATCACCCAAATCTAAAGCTATATACTGACTTGACACAGGAGAAGGGATCTAAGTTTCCTGAAGAATCAAGTGCATTCAAGCAGGGTGAACAGAAACAGCAGTGATTTCTCTCCGGTTATACCCAAAGGGGTGGTGTAGCCATGGCAGATTCCTGGAAAGCCTTGAATGACGATAGGAGTGAACGCAGCCCGCGTGTGCTTGGGAAACTGCTCCCAGCAGCTGCACCTTAACGTGCATCAGGCTGTGCGTTCTTCTGTGCTTTGGTTTCTAGGCAATTTGCGCAAATTTTAAATCTGAATATAAACACATATTCCCCCCGAAATGAATAAAGTTATAGAAAACCTAATGATATAACTCCTGTTTGCTGTATCCCTTAGTAACCACTACCTGGTTATGTAGAGATTCTGGTGGCTAACCCTAGCAAATCAAGACAAAGCAGTCATAAATAACTCCTGTTGTTGCAAAATGATTAATATTTCCATATTGCAAGCAAATCATGGATACTCTGCCTCCATGATCCTCTGCTGGAGAAGGGATCTCCTCATGGGGACAGTTTGCATTGTAAAGGGAGATTGCTTTTCCTGTACTTTTTATTAGTCCTGCATTATGATTCTAAGAACTTGTAGATCTTATCACCAGCAGCAAGCCCTTCATGACTGAATACCAGCTGGTGCCCTGAATGTTGACTTTATTAGCCTCACCCAGCCATTCCTCTTTAAGGGGGCAGGTGCCCATCAGGGCCACCCCTGCCACCAGCCGGAGGTAACAGGAGCAGTTGAACTTGAAGAGAACCTTTGGTGAACTTATTGACCAGGCAGGTTTAATAAGGCTTCCAGTAAGCATGCCGACTTAAGCGCTCATTAGACCAGGCACTGTTTAGACCCAGGTGGGGACTGACAGCTGTGGGGTCGAAGGAGGGTTAATGTGGACCTGCTGGATGCAGCACCCGTAGCGGTGTGCTCTGTGGCTTTGAATTGTTAATGGTATAATGGCAGGGAGGTGAGGAGGTGACAGACAGGCTGCTTTATATGCTTTTGGAGCCTGCATCTTCAGCAGTGCAGATCAATTAACACAGGTCCAAGTAAAAGAAATATGAAGACCTATGAGAAAAGTTTTAAACAATGGAATTTGCCCCACCGGTGAGGGCACTGCTCAGGGCTCTCGGGGTGAGCCACGCCGGCTGCCACCCTAGGCCTGCAGACAGGTCGCTCAGGCCTGGGCTGTAACCTGCAGAGAGGAAGCTGGACCTCCTTCCTCGGCGCCTTCACTCCCTCCATCAGGGGAGGTGACTGCCAGTGCTTTCTTTTCTCAGCACAAATATTAAATGACTTAAGTTGCATTGGCAGGTTTAAGAATAATGTGTTTACAAATAATAAGTCAATAACAAATATACTGTACTACTAAGAGAGACAGTTTACAAACGTACGTGTTTTTACATGGCTGTCTTCAATGTTGGTTATTTGTGGCTTTGCTAAAAGCTGGATCACATGCCGAAACCGGTTTGGCTCAGTGGATAGAGCGTCATCCTGCAAACTGGGGGGTCCCGGGTTCGATTCCGGTGAAGGGCATGTACCTTGGTTGCGGGTACATCCCCGGTGGGGGGTGTGCAAGAGGCAGCTGATCGATGATTCTCTCTCATCGATGTTTCTAGCTCTCTATCTCTCTCTCTTCCTCTCTGTGAAAAATCAATAAAATATATTTTTAAAAATAAAAAATAAAATAATAAAATAAAAACTGGATCACAGTTATAAGTAATTCTCATCCTACCAGCAAAAACAGTATTTTACTTAAGTAATACTTCTCTCTGAAGCTTTAGGGCAAGCTATACAAACAGAAACAACCTTTGCGTTTGTTGTTTTGCTTTCTCTGCCATTGCATCTTGTTTGTTTATTCAGTCATTCATTTTTCATGGTTTTAATTGTAAGAAATCCTTAAAATAACACCTGTGTTATTTATTGTCAAGAACAAGGATCTGTGATGGCAGAGTAAATGACATTGCTTACTCTTCAGCATTTATAAAAACAGTTTTGGGGATGTTGAGTTTTTCAGTTACTACATGATTGATTACACACACACACACAGAACTAAAGCATGTTAAAGCTGCTGTTTTAATTTAATTTGATTCTGAGGATATAATAGCATTAGAAGCTTGTAAGGGGAGCTGGAAGAGGCGAGCACAGGCCACCTGTTAGCCCTGTGCCATGCCGAGCTGCAGGAGGTCACCACCTGGCCTGTCCTCAGTCCCGGGCGACCTCCGTGGGGAGAGCAGGGCATGGGGCAGGTAGCTGCAGGTCACAGCTTCACGGGGGCTTGCACCTACACTGACAGCAACAGTTGCCCATACAAAGCCAGACAGCCATTACTTTCCTGTCCTTTGTGAAATTTAATCTTATTTCCTGTTTTAGAATTGTGTTACTACCTGGAGTGGTTTTCTGAAAACTAGAGACCAAGGAGGGCTGTACCTGAGGGTGTTGCAATTCTGCTAATAAAACAGATGATCAGACACAAAGCCACATTGAGCTTTCAGTCTCTGACCATTGTGTAAAGCCACAGGATAAGCACCTTTTCCAGAGGAAAAATGTCCAGAGACTCCGTGTTTTCCAGTCTCCCCGGAACCTGTCTCCATCCCTGAGGCTCAGGGAGAGCGGGAGCTGAGTCTTCTTTCTCCTCCTCTCCGTCACACCTCCCTGATGAGGTGCTCCCTCCAGGGGTCATGGTCATGGAGGCAGAATCTCCCACCTCAGCATCCCTCTCTCTATTGGTTTTTGTTATTTCTAAAATCTATTGCTTTTCAGAGAGGGGAGGGAAGGGAGGGAGAGACAAAGAGAGACACATCTTGTTTGTTGCCTCCCGCATGCACCCTGAGCCTGCAACCGAGTTACATGCCTTTGACCAGAATCAAACCTGGGTCCCGTCAGTCCGAGGCTGGTGCTCTATCCACTGAGCAACACCGGCCAGGGCCTCAGCGACCCTCCCCTGCGGTGGTCCCAGCTCTTCTCATCTTGGTTGAGCTCCGCAGACAGTAATGAGAATCAGTGGTGTAAAAAACACTGAGTGTGAAATGATGGGGGAAATTTGTTTTTCTCATGTAAGACGTGATAAAGAACTGCACGTCATTCCTCAGTGAAGAGTTTACCTGAAAAGATAAGGCTGGTTAATTGTTTCCCTTTGGAAAATAAAACAGTGTGAACTTTGGAAAACATCATAACCAGGCAGGTCCCTGAAAAAGTCAATACACCAGGGGCGGGGGAGTCACGGTGTTGATCGTGTGAACAGTGGGTTGCTTCAACCTCTTACCCATTCCCTTCACTGCTTACACATCTGTGAGGCTTCTCAGTCCAAAAAGCCCGTGCCGCTCACGAACTGAGCCCGGTTTGTGTGTTTGGGGGCAAAGGCAGACCCTGTTAGAAGACTGATTTGTGCTAGAAAAATAGTAAGGGAAACTAGTCAGAAATAAGATTAGCTTTTAAATCAATTATGCAAAATGTAAAATCTGATACAGCAGGATTATAATGGCAGTGCTGTGTATGTAGAGTCGTGTGTGTGTGTGTGTGTGTGTGTGTGTGTGTGTGTGTGTGAGAGAGAGAGAGAGAGAGAGAGACACACACACACACATGGGGGGGAGGGGGGAGGAAGATTGATTGATTGTGTTTGGGGGAGGGGGTGACACATGAAAAACCTACCATAAACGGCTGTGATCTCACCATATGTGTTGAATTGAACACAGCTCTTCTGCATTTAATGAAGACTTTAGCCTTTAGGGGTAAATAAAACATCACTAAACAGGGATGGCCTGAATATTTTTTACTGGCTGTAATAATTAAAGCCATGAAAAGGTGGTGGGGTTATGTTACTTATTAACTTGAATCGCTCTTAGATTTGATCAAGACGGGGTTGCCCATGGCGTTTTGTTTCATGCTTGTCCTTTGTTTCATTGACATGCTCTCCCTGGCCTCGGTGGCACTACAAAAGTAGCCAGGCCGCGAGGAACCAGACCCAAAGGGGCTGTTCTCCTCAGTCCAGCTTTCTTCTCTCCCTCCCACCCCCAACAACAGACGTTCAGCCACCAGAGCCGAGCCTGCAGTCCCCTATAGAGCTTGTTCTTGGGGGAAGGTGAGCAGAGGGACCTGGAGGAAATCTTTCCTTCTTAGAAGAGTTCAGGTGTAGCTGAGAGCTTTCAAAGGTGGTTTTTATTTTCCTCACAGGTTGAGCCAAGCATTGAGAAGCATTGATGCTGATTATAAGAGGAGCTTGGAACCCAGATGCATTGGTTTCCTGTTGCTGCTATAACAGATCACCACTGATCCAGTGACTTAAAACAGCACAGATCTGTTATCTTGCAGTGTCTGGAGGTCAGATGTCCAAACAGGCTCCCTGGGCTAACGTCAACGTGTGGGCAGGCCTCTGTTCCTTCCCGGAGGCTCCAGGGTAAAATCCTGTCCTTGCCTCTGCCAGCGTTCAGAGGCCCCTGCGTTCCTTGGCCCATGGGCCCTTCCTCCATCCTCAAAGCCGGCGGAGTCAGGCTCAGTCTGTCTCCAGCAGCTGTCTCTCTGGTTCTGTCTTCCCTTCCTGCCTTCTTCACTCATGATTGCCTTGTGATTGCCTTGGCTCAGGCAGATAATCCATCTCCCCATCTCCAGGTCAGCTGATGAACCTTAACTTCCCTGTGTCAGGCCACTTTATGTGTCCACAGGTTCCAGAGATCCGGGTGTGGCCATTGCCGTGCTTGGCACACCAGAGAATGTGGATAATGTAAAGGGTGGTGAATTGGGGAGTTCATAGGGTTACAGAGTAGGCAGATACAGGGTGTGCTATTAGAAGTGGATTTTTATAACTTCTTGCATTTTGTTATAACTACTGTCAGGAAAAATACATATGTGTGCACATGTGCACACACATACGCTATTACACTATAGAAAAAGTCATTTGTATTTTCAGTTTAAATGACGTTTCTATTTCGCTGTGATATCTAATGTCAGCTACTGAATGTAAAGAGAAATTGTAAATGTGATATACAAAAAATTATAGTGTTAGTTTGGAGGAAATTGTCATTTCTTTATTCAAAAGTATAATCTAGTTATAATTTTATTGACTTAAGAATGTTAGAATTAATCCTGCTTTTATTGACTTAAGAATGTTAAAATTAATCATTTTTTATAGCATAAAAAATTCATCTTGTGAATTTGTTGTGCTATAATTTTTTCTTGACATTTGACTTCACTGAGGAACCTCTAATAAAAATGATGTTATTTTTGACAATATAAACATCCTTTTTGGTGCTCATATCTGAATAATTTTTACATGGTTTTAACCGTTGTGTACATGTTCTTGTGTGCTAAGTGGCTTGACTTTTCTGTGACCCTTTCCCCCAGTCATCTCATTTAAGGCTGGGTAGTGTGTGCCCTGTTCCGTATGGCTCCATCCCCTGAGATGACAGACAGATGTGTGAGGTTCTCTAGGAGAAAAGTACCACCTGTATTTGCATAAAGCAGAGCTACAGTGGTTCAGCTGTCAGCAGCTTCCTCGTAGAAAATGTCCCTGAAATAGATATGACATTTACCTGTAATGGCTTTCTTTTCCCGTGAAATTAATGGTGTAAGGCTTTTTTAAAAACTGCTTTATCTTTGAATTTCTCTTTAAAAATTGACGCTATTAAAAAATTTTTTTCATCATGTAGTTGCTAAAAATCAGTGCTAATGGGCACAAGATTGATGAACCTTGATTCTTGCTACAAGTACATTAACTCAAAATTGGCTGTGCTGGATACTTGGCAGTAGGGAGATTTTTAAAAAGGAGTCCTAGCCCTACAAGGAGCTCAGAGATTTGAGCATATCCAGTGGCATGCTAATAGTTCTGTTACATGGCAGAATAGAACTGCTTACATAAGAATGGATGAGGATAAAACCCAGAAAGCAAAAGTGGTTTCTAGAAGGGTTCTTGAAAAGTGGTGGGAGGTTTGTGTGTGTGTGGGGGGGGGGGGGGGGGCGGGCAGGGGAAGGAGAGAGCACAATCCAGGCAGAGGGGCTGCTGTTAGCAGTTGTATCAGTTTGCAGAAAGTTTGTTGGCTGGCTGAGGAGAGGATTGGGATGGAAATGAGCACACTGTGCCACACCCTTTGGGGCATGCACATCACTGTTTAAGTCAAGGACAGAGAAGGGTCAGAGTTGTGCTTTTATGTAACTCACCTGGCCTGAAGGTGGTGGGCAAAGTGGGTTTATTATCCATGTCCTTGAACAGGCAGGCCTGGTGAGGGCCTCATGGAAGGGGCTGCTGGAAATGAGGGGAGAGGATGGAGAGCTGCTTTGGCCACTGGTTTACCTTTGGTGGTTAGTTGGATAGGGTTGGGGTGCACCTCGCAGCTGCATGCTATTTTGCACAGTACCTTTAAGGAGGGCAGGCCACTGTAAACTCACGTCTAGGAGCTAAGTGGGTGTTGGGACAGAAAGAGGGTCTTTAGACAGACAGAACGCGTGTGGTGTTCCTGACACCCTTGGAGCTGGGTGGAGCTTTTGCTCCTGAGGGAATGGAGGTTGCAGAGTTTGTGCCAAGGTTACTAACTAGGTGAGCATCCAGCAGCATTAGACCTGGGTTCTAGGTGATCATCAGACCTGCTGTTTGCGTTCTGAGGCTCGGATCATCTGCACCAAGCAAGACCCTAGCCCCCGCGGTGCAGCACGCGTGAGAGGAGTGGGCTCCACCCTGGACACTGCGGGGAGGCAGGCAGGGCGGGGCCACCACCGCCTCTTCGCTGGGTCTCCGCGGCCCCGCCCATCTGCCAACTCCCTCCAGATGCTGCCCCTGCCCGGACGTGCGGACCCTGGGACCACGGAGCTGCCCTGGGCATTGGTGCCACGGTGGACCTTAGCCAAGGCCTGCAGGCTGGTGAGGGTCTGGGTGTGGAGGACGAACTGCAGCCGCGAGCCCCCGGGCTGGCAAGACCAGCTTGGTGAAAGCTTTCTTGAGTCAGGTTTCTCCCGGCTTGTACCGACAGGAGTTACCCTACATCTCTCCTCCGTCTTCCCTGCGGGGCCCTGCGCCGGCCTGCTGGATGCTGGTGGCTTGATCCTTCTGGTGAAGGGCATCTGTTTGCGATGTCGGGGGGTCCCGAGCACCCCGGGGCCTGGGCTCCGGATCCCCGGAGAAGCACTCGCGGCAGAGGTGCTGCACACCCCGCAGCGCTCCCGGCGGGGCACTCGTTTCCTCCTCGTGCCGCTCACTTGGGCTGTCTTGCTTTCAGAAAAGAACGTGCTCGGGGGACAGATGTCAGAGTAGTGCTCTCCGGCTTCAAACTTAGTGACGTTGGCTGCGAGTGAGGAGCCAGGTGTGTGTGCAGGGTTCGCGCGGCGTCGCCCGGCGGCCCTGCGCCTTGGGAAGCCGGCCGGGGAGGCCCCGCTGGCGCCACGGCGGGCGGGATGCAGGGCGCCCTGCGGGCGGCGGAGGACCACGCCGAAGCTGGGACCCAGCTTCTTTCAACAAATAGTCGTTTATGGAGCAGGGCTGTCGATTTGACTTCCAAAGGAGGAAATAAATGGTTATTATAAAAACAGCGTCAACAAATAGGATTGGATCAACGAGAAAGGGTAACTGCGATGTTGGTGGGAACTGTGCCAACTGGAGGTACTCTCAGGACAGTACGTGGTTTCATCTTAATCTGCGGTCTCTATCCTTCAATTTAAAGCAGAATGGCAGATTTGACTACTAGCTTAATGGCGTTTTACTTTTAAAAGTAAGTGCTAAACTAAGCGCGGAGACTGATGCCAGCATGGGTGTTCTTTACTTTTACAAGAATATTTTGGTATATTTTGTAGAATTTATTTATTTTTATCTCTCATTACGGAATATTCATTATGTTTACTATAGTGTTTATTATCTGCAGGTAGATATCGTGGATTTTTCAAACTGAAGTATTCCTTTTTTAAAGAATTATACTGAACCAGTTAAATATTCTTATATATTTGAAAGCATGTATAAAGCTTATAGATGTTAAGGGAGGTGTCCTGTCTTGTACACAAAGGTTGATTTAGCTAAGACTTTAAAGCCATTTAAAAGTTTCTATTTTAACTCAGTGGGGAATTTTGAAAGGATAAGTTTTGGGGGACTATTACATTTTCTCTGAAGGAGCTTTCTGCCTGTGTTCTCACTTGCTCATCTGATCTATTTTTATCAGGCACCTGTTTTTTGTGTTGTTGTTTTTTAATTTACGCATTTTAAGAATATCATCTTATTTTCAGGGCATTAAAGTTAAGCAAGGTAGACACATTAGCATTTGAAAATGTTTGCATTTGTTTTTAATTGCTTTTCACTTTCCACTTGTTTTAACTTGAAATTAGTTTATTTTCATGTTTAAAAAGAGGTTAACTTTTAAAATGGTTACAGTGAAAATGTGTTCAGATATTTGTCATTTCATATTTAGAGAGGTAAACTTAGCTGCCAAACAAAAATAGCATTTTGTAATAAAAATAAGGCAGTAAATTAATTTTCCACGAAGTGAATGCGTTGTTGTTTTTTTTCCTTAAAAAATGGAGACATTTTAGAGCATGCCCTGGTAAATGCTTGGAGTGAGATTGAAAACTATACTTTCCTGAAATTTTCAAAAAATTAAAATCTATTTTTGAAAAAATATATACAGTGAAAGGGGAAGATATGTGAGTCATAACCTATTTTATGCAACATTTTTGTAGTGCTTGTTTTTATTACTTTTCTACTCCATTTCATAGTTCATTGCCTATGTTTTTTTCTTAAATCTTGCTCATAAACTTTTAAGTTATTCAATAATTCTTTTAATATGGATGCAGATTGCTTTAAAGATCAAATCAGTAGTAGAAAATAAAGTATAAAAAGGCTTTTTCTTTGTTTTTTGGTGTTTTGTTGGCTTTTTGTAAGCACATATTTGCATGTATAATTTTACTAATCCTAAAAATTTCACTCTACGTTTATAACTTGAGCCCAGCTGGTGTTGTCCAGTGGTTGAGCGTCAATTTATGAACCAGGAGGTTATGATTCAATTCCCCGTCAGGGCATATGCCAGAGTTTCAGGCTTAATTCCCCAGTGTGGGGTATGCAGGAGGCAGCCGATCTGTGATTCTTCCTCAATATTGATATTTCTCTCCCTCTCCCTTCCTCTCTGAAGTCAATTAAAAACAACAACAACACATAAAACTTAGAGAGTTTAATATTCAGAACGTGAATGGAGTATTCTAGTTTTTTATGGAAAACAGGCCTGATTATTTCCCTTTCTGAGGCTTCCTCTCACTTTTTCTCAATAAATAAATTTCCCCATAATCCTTGAAATAATTATTCTAGTTTATAGTTGTAGTTCTGACTTTGTTGTTTGAATCTGGTGACCTTTACTGGGATTGCTGTGAGATTTGAAATAAGACTGGCCTCTGGTGTGTTGCTGTAATGTTCTGGTGGTTTCCAGTGAAGATGCCAGTCAGTAGGCATTAAAGCTGCCCTTACACCCAAAAAACTGAATTCTGGCATTTGGTGTTTTCCCATTTGGACCGACAAGTAGCCCCTCAACTGATGCTAGTGTGAACAATAGCAACCTCCAATAGTACTAATTAAAAATTATGCAAATTCTGCATAATTTTACTGGAAAGATAATAAAAGGTAAGTTTCCTGGGCAGTTTGCTTCTCTTTTATTCACAAAGTCTGTAAACTATAAGAAGACAGCTCCCCCACATCGCTGTACATCTTGCTAATTTCCACCAGGTGATCCAGGAACATTTGTTCTGCAGGAGGGACCAAACTTTCAAGTTTAATATCTATTTTTTTGAGACTGTGTTTTTTTGTTTGTTTGTTTGTTAATTGTAGTCATCATGGCCTGGCGTTTTTGCACAGAAATGCTAATTTCCTTGTGAAGTGGCATGTACCTTAGAGGTTAAACTTTTTTTTAAATTATAAGCACAATGCGTAGTGAGTGAAAGTCTTCACGTTCTGTAAATTAGAGGAAAAATTGCTACAGCTCTGATTGCCTTTGTTCTCCAAGCCATTTGAATTGCAGGCTGTGCTGAGACTGGTTCTACATTGTTTAACCGCTGAGACTAAAACTTCTAATTAGAGAAATCACTGGGTGGGAGCTGGCTGGCGCGGCGGCGGCGGCGGGGGGGGGGGGGGGGGGGGGGGAGGGAGAAGAGGGCGGGGGGGGGGGGGGGCGGGGCTTGAGGGGGCGGCGCGCGCGCGCGCGGTGAGAACCCGGCCCGGCTGCCCACGCCGGGCGGGGCGGGGCGCGGCGGCCTCCGCGGGGATTGGCCGGGAGGGAGGGGGCGGGGCGGGGCGCGGCGGCCTCCGCGGGGATTGGCCGGGAGGGAGGGGGCGGGCGCGGCGGCCGCGGGACTGTGCGGCTGGCGCCCGGGACGCCGCCGGAGGAGTCCGGGCCAGTCGTGCCCCGGCGGGAGCCTCGGAGAGTAAGTCCCTTCCTCCCTCCCGCGGGCCGCCGCCGGCCTGCCTGACAGCTGCGGGGCGGTTGGTCTGTCCACACCCTCTCACCTTCCTCCTGGAACCGCCGTCTTCCCGCCGGGCGCGGGGCCGGGAACCGGGCCGGGAGCGGGGCGGCGGGGCGGCCGGGGCGGCGCTGTACCCGTTCCGCTTCGTCATGCGCCGCAGTCGCTCCTGCTCCGTGGCCACTGGCATCCCCTCCTGCGGGAAGAGCATACGGTGTGATGGCAGTTCTAGTCGCCCTTAAGTTTTTCTAGAAATCTACGTAAGGAAAAGTGTGCCTCGGACGGGTGGTTGCCTTTGTTTTTATATATATATATTTCTTTATTGATTAAGGTCGCCTTTGTTTTAATGCTTTTGTAGTTGTTATAAATGGGCGTCAGAATTGTAATTCTTTGTGTGCCTGTGTTTACCAAGCCTTCAAGTTGGAAAGACCAGGTAAACAAGCCCGCGCTCCAGAAAGCTCCTGTGAAGGGCGAACGCCGCAGGAAGAGCCCCAACACGCCCGCTTCCGGCGGGAGCTTCCCGGGCAGGTCCGCGGGTTCGCCGGTCCCGGACGGTCCCTCCGGGGCTGGGCGCCGCCGACAGGCGCTGGTCCCCCGCCGCCCCCGGCCGCCGGGGTTGGAGCCCGGGCGCTCAGAGAGAAGCTGCGCTAAACGGGCGGTGCGGGAGGTTGCTGGCTGCCCGCAGGCCGCCCGGTCACCTCTCATTCTGTCTCAGCCATTGTCTGTACAGGTCTGAGTGGGGACCCTCCAGCAGGAAAGTGCTGCTCAGCCTGTGAGGTTGTGATTCGTGATTTTAGAATCTATGTCCACCTTTCCTTTGGGGGATTACTGGTTATGCAAGTTCATTTGTTTTAAATTAATCAAACTTCACTTTGGGATAGGATATGTATTAATAGGTCATAATTGGTATGCTGTAACTTTGATATGTGAAAAACAAAGTAGAAAATCCATGAAAATGTGAAGAGTAGACATTTTATAAAAAGATTGTACTTTTATATAAGAAAATTTTCTAAAAACCTATGTAAAAAAAAACGCGATCCTGCCTCTTTTTTTAAAAAAGATAAATTCCAAATTAATATAGATATAAGTTAAGCTGAAATACTGAGGGAAGAGGAAATTTGGTTTTCCATAGACTGATTGTTTTCTATTAAGTTCAACAGCCAGAAAACTTCGAAATCCAGAGGCTTTCCTGTAATTTCCAAAAGTTCTGTGCTGTTAAAACATATAAAAATAAAATACTGAATTTTTTTTCTTACATAAGCACATTATGTATACATAAAGGCAGGTATAAAATAGTAGTAATGCTAAAACTTAATTATATTTTTATGAAATTTCTTTAGGAATCCATAAAAAATAACTAAATAAAATCTCAAATATTGGGATTTTTAAATTGCTACTAGGAAAGATTTCTTAGGTTTAATCATGGTTGGACCGGCACCTGTGAAGACCTACTAGAATTTCAGATTCATGATCAACAATTTTAGGATTTTTAGGCCCACGGCTAAAACGTATTTGTTTTGTATTTTTGAAGACTTAACTTCTGTTGAGTGACTTTCAAGTATTTGAATTCACTTGAGAAACTATTTCCAAGGCAGCAAACAAGGCCGCATTTCACATTTCCTGCTCCTATATCAGCTTCAGGCTGCTCCAGGGCCTTGAGTCCAAGTTGGGAGTTCGCAGTAAAAGATTATAATGTCTGAACTTTCATTGCAGTAAAATGGCCGTTTTGCCCTAACAGAACATTTTTATAATGCTATTTCAGTCTACTTGTGTAGCTGGTAGTAGTTCCTATTAAGAAGGGAAGTACATTAATTTATGAATTATTCAGCTGTTTGTGCACAGCATGAAACTTTGGGGTAAACAAACCTGACATCATTTCTGTCCGTATGGTTTTATTGTTGTTTCCCATCCACTTGTTTGTTTCAGCTTCCCAGGCGTGTGCCTCCCGGAGACAGCCACTGCTTTTTTTTGCAGAATGCTGGATCACTAAAACTTTCACTCCCTTCATATGAGCTGGTCTTGAGGTGGGAGATAGAAAAAGAAGTTAAAAATGAATATTTCTTGAAAAGATGTGAAATTTGTTTCCTGCCTTTCTCCTGAAGTTTTAAGTCCTTATCTTTTTCAAAAATACAAATTTCTGTCCTTTAAATTAATCCTTTGCTCTATTCCTCATAAAACTTCAAAATTAATCCAGGATATAAAATGTCTAGACTAGAATCCAAAAGTGTGCAGGATTTGAGTGAAGTCGGACTGCTGTGAAAAAACACTGAGTCATTGGTAGTAAGTTGTATAGTACTCTCAACACATTTTTATTACATAAACACAACTTTATTTTTCAGCAATAACTCAATTGGTTTGACTCCTTACCCTCTTCCATCTCACTCCCTACAATTCCTCTTTAGTTGTGGTCAGCTATACATATATTTAAGGATATGTTTCTTTGTCTACTCTATGACAGAAACCACAATAAATTGT